AGCGTCCCCGGGGCCGGGCGCAGCTCCGCCGGGGCCGCCGTCCGCCGCGGAGCAGCCCGTGGTCCTGAGCACCAACAGCCCCGCCGCCCTGAAGGTGGGCACGCAGCAGATCATCCCCAAGAGCTTGGCTTCCGAAGTCAAGGTGAGCGGCAAAGCCAACGGCCAGAGCGCGGAGAGCAGGAGGGTGCTGAAGGTCCGCAGCATGGTGGAGAGCCCCAGCCTGCCCTTGGTGGCCGACGGCGAGGAGGAGGCCGAGGGCGAGCTGGACAGCCCGGGCACGCTGAGGCGAGGCCTGAGGTCGACGTCCTACCGCAGGGCCGTGGTGAGCGGCGTGGACTTCGACGGCTCTGCGAATTTTAAGAAAAAAAACAGAATGTCCCAGCCCGTACTTAAAGCGGTTGTTGAAGATAAAGAGAAGTTCTCGAGCCTGGGGAGGATGAAGGTAAGCTGTGCTGCGCGGTGACGCGCTGGTGTGAACAGTGTAGACCGCAGACTCTGTGCTGGGCTTTATTCAGTTTGCTTTTTGCTGCCAGAAAACTTTCCGTAGTTACTGATGAGTCTCACGGATCACTTATAAGTGTTGCTTTCAAAGTGAAGTGGCGGAGTCTTCAGGAACACGATTCTGTGGAAATCTGGGCAGCTCAGAAATGTGTGGACGGCAGCCTCACGCTCGGCGTTTGCTGCTGGGTTCCCCCGCACATCGAGGTTGTCTTTCACAACCAGATTGATGTTTTAAAACCCGTTTCCCAGAAAGCAGTAAACAGGAAAAAAAGAGACACTGGCTTTAATAAAGTCTGTCTGCTAGAGTAAACAGACTGACAGAAAAATAAACTTCCTCCCTTACTACTCCCTATCTGAGACATCACTCCTGAAGTATTTTTAAAATCAGAGTGTGATTTTTAAATTGGTAGAGGCCGCTTCAGGTATCTTTTTGTACCTTAATTGTAATGCCTGCAAGTAAAAGCAGAGTGCCTGTTTTTAATTCTTGATTGTAATCCCTTAGGAGTAGTAGATTTATATTGAATGTTAATGTATTAAAAATTGAATTATAGAGTTACTGAAAATATTCTTTTACTTAAGTGTATCATATAGTAATCTCATATTTCCTTATTTTTGAACATAATTTGTTACTTTTTAAAAAATGCATTGGTAGATTTCTGCAGAGTGTCTGCAATTGTGTAATAAGGTGCTCCAGACTAAGGGTTAATGCTATAGCTGTTAAAATAATTACCAGCTTTATGACAATTTTCAGCCAAATTAAAAAGTATGGTTATGGAAGGTTTTGTGAAAATGCTACAGGTGGTGAAATAGTAATAGATCAAATTGTGAACTACTGCCGAGTAGGGAGGTGGTTTGTTTTGGTTTGGTTTTGGTAGTAGACTTCAACAGTAAGTTATGTTTAAAAAAGAGGACATGACATTGTCCTGTCTGTACACAGAAAACTCTCATTTTTTTTAAACAGACTTCTTAGGCCATGTGAGTTGTTGCACCAAAACAGCTGTTTTATTTCAAAGATTTGTTTTGGTCTCAAAGCGTTAGTTTACAAAATACTTAATGGGGTGGTTCTTTGCAGAGTGCAGGGGAAGAGGCGGCCGCTCAGTCGCATCCTCCTAGGAGAGCCCAGTGACAGTGCAATGAGTTACAGGTTCACTGAACTCCTGTAACGCCAGTGTACTGTGCTTTTGAAACATAGGAAAAATGAAGCGTTTGGGAAAAACAGTATAAACAATGTGTGAGAGAAGGAAAACTAGAGTAGCTTTTCACTTTCTGCGATGAAGCAGTTGTTTTTGTGAATACTGGTCCAACATCACAAGTTTGTAGATTAGGGCCTGTTAACTTGGAGCCTAAGTATCAAATAAAATAGAAGTTCTTGTTACTGTTGGTTATTTTGCATTCTCCTTTTAATGTGTCTATGTCTCTTTCCTGTTGAAATTATCAGAAGAAAATGCTGAAAGGACAAGGGACGTTTGATGGGGAAGGTAAGCCCTTTTCTGTACAGACTTGGCAATACGCTCAGTTATGAGAGAAATGAACTTCAGGATCATTTTGCACACTTCTTTCATATGTAGTCAAAACCGGAGTACCTTGTTTTTCAGTACACGGAGTAAAACATGGCACTATAATTTTGGCACCAGGCATACTTTAGGGAATATTTTAAAGAATATAGTGTGGCAGGTTAAAAATGGGTTTTTTTTTGAAGGGCTTCTTTTCATCTTGAGCTCTTGCTGCTCCTAAAAGATGAACTGATCAATTTGTCTATCTGAGCCCTACAAGTTCTGTAGAGGTCCATAGATGAGGCTGTTCCTCCAGCTGGGACTGCCTTCCTGCCTGTTCCCTGGGACTCTTCCCAGGTGCCAGACAAGGCTTTTGTGCATCAGCTGAGGGGTGTGGGGTCATCGCTTATGGCGTGCACCTGAGTTGTTACTTTCTGAGGTTATGGTTCATGCAGCTGTCCTCTTCCTCAGGAGGCAAGGGTGGGGAGGGGAATTCCTTGACTTCGTAATCCTTTTCTTTTTCTGCTACCTAGGCTTCAAGTTTAAGTGTCAGAAAAACACCGTCCACGTATCTGCTCTTTTATGTTACTCGTTAGTTCTGGGCTTTGCCAAGTTTGCTGCTTTTCCCAGTATTTCAACCAGAAAAAAATTCTTTCCTGGTATGAGTCCATGGAAGTTTCATTATAATAATTGCTACTCTCTTGGCTTTTCTCTGCTTAATGCCTCCTTAAGGTCATCTCAGCTGCGGTGTTACCTTCCTTTTCCTCTTGTTTCTCTTCTCAAGACTTTCAACTTTGTTCTGTTTGCATTACCCCCTATCTTATTTTCAACTTTTCTCACTCTATCACCTAATGATGTTTTCTAGATTCTCTTCCATTGGCTGTCTTTTATCTTGGACTGATCCCAACTAATAACTTTTTCTGTGATGCCTCTCAGAATTCAGTTACTGTACACAATTTCCTGTCTTAAAAGGGTATAAACTGTACAGACACATTCCAAAGAACACATACAAAAGGCCGGACGGTGTATAATACTCAGGCAGGGCTGTACGGGCCGAGCAGGTGGAACAGATCCCCCAGCCCGGCGTAAGACCTCGGGAGTTGCAGCTGTGCGGGGAGCAGCCAGACCTTGCACTTCTTTCCCCTTCCTCTTGCATGGGAAAGTTGGATGTTGTCCAAAGCCTGGCCTATCTCTGAAGTACCTTTTAGAGCTTGCTTTCTTAACAGCTTAATCCGTCTGTAGGTTATTCTGGTCTTGAATTTCTCAGTCCTGTTCTGTCTGCTTTTGAAACGGGTGTGTGGTCAAGGAGGTGGGGAAATGGAAAGGGTGTGCTCCACACCTGTGGTTCTTTGCCATTGATATTACTGAATTAATACTGGCAGTACTGAAATATATGAGTGTATTTTGCTTTAAGGTTCATAGGCCTCGTGCTTATTCAAGCAAGCTTTGAAGTTTCTATTTGGAATATTTCTGACCTCAAATTTCTGAAATTTGGATCATTTCCTTCTCTTAGCAAAGTGCGAAGACTTTATTTAAAGCTGACAGAATAAAAGTTGGCATGTGTAGTGTAATGGTTTTGCAGATTAAAATAGCTAGACCTCCAGATTAGTGACTCTGCTCTACTGACACGCTTGTTCCATTTTCAAATTGCTGGCTAATTATGAAACATTGTACAGCAAACCAAGGAAGAAAAAATTGTTTTCTGTTTTTTCTTCACAAAGGACACATCTGTTCTTTAATTCAGTCAGTGTGGATCTTTTTGGTAGTGGTACAGTGATCCATTGTTACTGTACTGCACCATTGTCCACCCTAAATAAGATCCTATCTGTGTCTCCTGGAGTTTGTGAACGGCTCATTGACATTTTGGTTTCTTTCATTGTTTAAATGTTACTTATAATTTTTATGAAAGCAACTAAGCTAACTTTCTAGCAATTAATGACATACTATTGTTTTATAGAAAATGCTGTGTTATATCAGAACTATAAAGAAAAAGCTTTGGACATAGATTCTGACGAAGAGCCTGAGCCCCAAGAGCAGAAATCGGATGAAAAGGTTGTTTTTTGCTATAAGCCCCTGAGATCAACGTGGAGTCAGCTGTCCATTGTGAGTATTTGATCGTTGTATAGCCAGACAAAGACAGTATTTAAGAAAAAATTGAAGCAAGTCTTACTTGCTATTGGAGTTTTTGGCTGAAGTTTGTCATCTTCCTCTCCCTTCCAAAATATAAGGTGTCTCTAAATTTTTTTATCGACAAGTTTGCAACTATGCAGATGTTACTAATCCAAACTCAGAGGTCCAAATTCAGCTTTTGTTTAGGTTTTATGTAAGGTAACTCCCAACAGCCTACAGAAAGCCTAAGTCACGTTTTCTCAGTCAGTTTTAGTAAGTATAGACTGATGGTCCTGCCAGAATCAGTTTCCCTGGTTACCCCACACCTCCCTTTTTCTAGCGTGGGTGTTTGTAGGCTCACGTGGCCACACAAAAGACTGGTTAGAGTATGTGATTTGAAATTACTGAGGAAAAAAAAAAATCAGTGTTGTTTGTGATGAAACTAAATACAACTTTAAAATGCAAAGGAATTAATATATTAATAATTTTATGCTTTAAGATACATGTCTATTAATTTTTTTCTTTTTAAACTATGCTGGACAAAAAAAAATAAATCAAGCATGCTTCTTTTGTTGGTGCCCTGACTTTGTGCTTCCTGCAGTCACTGGACACGGCTGCTTAGGCCTTGCCTGCGCAGGGTGCTGGGAGCCGTCCTGGTGCAGGTCCTTAGGAGAGTTACGGTCTACACCAACGCGTGTTACTGTCTTCGGCTGTTCTGAACGAGGTGCTGTCGGAAAGCCTGAAAAGACAGGTTTAAATCCTGACAGTGTGTAAACTCAGAGTGAAATCTGTGCTTTGTAGTTCCTTTCAGTAAATTGGAGTGGTGTGGACCAAACCTGAAATAAGATTTACTCCTGTTCTCTTTTTATTTTTGCTAAACTTTGTTTTTTGTTTCATAAGAACAACATGGAAATCCTGATTAAGAAAAAAAAAAGTGTGTGTGAATTTACTAAAAGGGTGAATTATACTAATGAAAAGCTTCAGTTAGTTACAGACAAGTTTCTGCTGAATGATTCTAAATTACTGCAAGCCAACTCTAAGTTGATTTGATTGCATATATTTAATGGGAGCCGTTTTAAAAAAGCCAAGTATTCAGATAGTTGTATCCTGCTGTCCTTAGCACAGTCTGTAAAGCATGTGCAGTAGCTTTTTTCTTAACAGTATCATTAAGCAAAGTAGAATTCAGCTGTTTTACTTGCTAGCAGCCCTGCTAATAAGATAGCAAATTAATGATACTAGTTGATATTTCCTCAGGCTTTCCTAGTATGCATATTTTTGAGCCTAAATAAACTCAAAATTCTGTGTTTGTGAGGTTAATTTTATCCTTTGATCGTTTCTGTGGCTTCTGGAGGGATATCACTGAAATGAAGGGCTTGGGGTTTTTTTGGATTTTGTTCATGTAACTCGTAGAATGTTGTAGAACCTCATTCTCTATATGTGACACAGGAAAGTAGTATTATTACATGACGTGATCGCCTAGAATATTTGACAGCTGGTGCATATCCTATATAAATTGGTTCTTAAGCCTCAGCAAGATCTCCTAAGGCTATTTAGATTGTCTGTTTAGAAGAGCCGTCTTACAGATGTTGATGACCTTTTGCGGTTTAACGCATTGAAATATGAATCCCTGTTTGATTCAATAATTATAAAGAAGGCAAGACAATGTGGCTTTGAAAAGATTTGCTTTAACTTTCAACAAATCAAGTACTTTAAATGTAGTTAATTTGCTTAATGTTGCAAAGAAGTTTGTTTATAATGAAGTCAAATTGACTTTTTTTTTCCTACCTTCTAGCCAAACTAACAGTCAGATGTTCAACAGCTGAGGTGTTTTGGAAGGAATGCTATTCAGTAGTAATAATTATTTCAAAAGCACTAATTTGTCATGAGACCAAAATAGTATAAAGATCATTTTGGTAAGAGAACCATTCCTCTGTCATGCTTCCAGTTGTATAAACCATCTTGTTCTTTATGATTTCTAGCACGGCAAACTTGCTCAGTGTCTTTACTTGATTTACAAGGTTGGAAGTGGGGAGTATGTGGGAAAAGGTAGTGCACCATGAAAGCAAAATATGGGAATCCGAGTCTCACAGTGTCTGTGTTTATAACTCTCTGGAAAAATTACATGCTGTCAAAGTGTATTAAAAAGTGAGTGTGGGATTGTAACAGGAAGTCAGCTGGAAAACGTCAAAGTATTGGGTTTCAACATATGTTAGGAAAGAAGGAGAATAGTATGTTCATGGCACTTGTTAGCGGTGGCTGTGCTCGGAAATTGAGGGGAAGGACAGCAGAATGAATCCACTCCTGCAGGATGTTTCTTTGGCCGTACAGGCTTGGCAGCTGATGCAGTACTGACCAGACTTTCTATTTGAGGAGGGTACTGAAACCTTCATGTATGGAGTTGTCAAATCCTTGATGATAATAATAATAATAAAGGGGCTTCTCTGTCTTCCTACAGTGTACACGCATGTGTGAAACTAAGATGGAGCTTTTTGAAGAACATTTAAAGACTCTGAAATAGAGTGTTATTTAAATCCAGTTCCTTTCAAATTCCTTTCTTGAACCCTCTTCAGATTCCTGTTACAGATTAGACAGCGATCAGTAGCTAAGCAGATGACTAGGTAAAGAGACGGCTTATCTACTATCTCTGTCCCTTCCAACCTTCACCTGTTGATTTAAGAGTTTAATTTAGGGAGAACAACCAGTATTTCCCAAATATATTCCAAAAGTATCTTTCAATATTTTTGAAGAATTTCCAGCAGATCATAGGCACTGATGCTAACTTGTGCTCTATATTAAATGTATTTACTTTCCAACAAGTGCAGCATTCGGTTGGTATGGGTAATGACAGCGTGTATTACTGTGCATGCTAGGAATCACAGCGTCGGTTAGGTTGGAAGGGACATCTTGAGATCATCTGTGTGAGGAGGGTCAGTTGGAGCAGGCTGTCCGGGACTGTGTCCAGTCAGGTTTTTAATATCTCCACAGGTGGAGACCTCACCATCTCTCTGGGCAATCTGTTGCAGAGTTTGATCACTGCATCTGACTGGTGGACTTTGAACTTAAATGTCCTTACCGTCCAGCCTGGAGAATATGGTGCATGTTCGTTTTTCATTACTCCTGTCAGTGCTGCTGTGGTGCTTGTAAGATACTCTTCAGATCTAGCACTGGAAGCAGATGTCCTGTAGCATGGGTAGCCCTCATAATTATTTAATTATTTAATATTAAATGGGTGTTTTAGCATCAAGTCCTCCATTTCATGCCCAGTAGGTTCAATGTATTTCCATAGTGCTGCATCAAGATTTTGCATATTCTCTCAACTGCTGCCTCTCTAACTTGAAGCTCTTTCCAAGCTTTGGTCATTTTGTGTTTCATTTTCCTGATCATCTCTTTCTCTGGTTTGGGACAATGCAGTTGTGATTTTTCTCACTCATTTAAAAAGCTGCCCCAGGTTGCTTTACTGAGCCACTCGCAGTGTCGCCGTGCCATGGCTGCCTCTTCTCTGTGGTATCAGACAAAAACTTGCCTGGTTTTACTGTCAAGGATCTTCAGGGCTAACCTCTGCCTTAGCTCTCATTTCTCTCCCAGTGTCAAAGGGCTTATGTTCAATTTGGTTTATGGTGCAGCCACTTATTTCTTAGAGAAATATAATATTTCTGGTGAGTTCCAACCCACCTGCAGCACTTCCTTATTTTGGAGTAACCTCTTGTACGCAACCACAGAGTTAACCTGTCATTCTTTCATCTTTCCCTCCTGGTCTCCATGGTTGATTCAGTCATAACTGGGTTGCTGGGGAAAAGCAGTGCAGTGTGACAATGAGGCAACATCAGTAGCTGTAGTGTTGGGCCTCTTCCATTCTTTCTGGTTGTGTTCTTACTTAGCTTATACGAAGTGTTTGTTTACATGCTATCACAAGTGGGATTTTTACAATATTTCAGCTAAAACATTTTGTGCATCTCAAAAAATAGGAGTTGAATTTTCTTTCACAGAACATGTCAAAAATCATCTCTATGCTCTTTGGAAGTGTTGCCACCGATTAAGAATATAAGGTCGAGCCATTTGCTTCCATGAGGAATTCATAAGTGGGGTTAGTATGTACACACCCATATATGACTATAATGATTGTGAAACATAACGACAGTTTTTTGAATGTGAGTGCAGCAGTTGCCCCGTTGACCTCGCTGGAAATCTCCTGGATGCGTTCACAGGTATTTCCTGTGTCGGCGTATTTTTAGAGAAGTCCTCCGCTGCATCCAGAAGAAAAATGACATTGTACTTCCTAGTGAGTGCTTTAAAGGTTTCAGGTTGTTGATGGAAAGGTACTTAAATAGTTTAAGAGAAAGGCATCTGACTAGTTCTTGCATGTATTCAGAACTGTGTGCTTGTGGTGACGCAGGAATCTGTAAGTTGTGTTCAAAAGAACAATTGCTTGAACACCGGAATAATTACGTTATTTTTATAAGTGTATACATGTGTGCTTACGCTTTGGTGTGCATGCAAACCAAAGTGCAGCACTTCTTAATGTTGTGCCACCTTTACTCTTGAGCCTGCTGTCCAGCCTTGTGCTGCGCGGTGTGCAGGAATAAAATGGGGAATAATATATCCTTTGAAATTCCAGGGAACAAGTGGAGTAAGAAGAGAAAGCCGTTGATGATACTACTTTAGGAGCTGTTGGAGAAGACCAAAAGAGAAACGGGAGAATGGAAGTGCATCTGTTAGGTCTCATGTCCAGTATCTTTCACGTGTAGTGCTGTGCGGTGGCCTCTGTCCCCTTCCCTGGTCCAGCATGCCATACGCAGGTGACCCTCCTGATTTGAGGTCCTGTGTTTAACACTCCTCTAGGAGATGTATGAAGTCAGTCCGTCCTTGGTGCTTCACTTTCCGTTAAATGACATAATGCATGCGATTGGCATCAGGAAAGAATAAACTTCAGGGGTCTCTAGTGTGCAGTTTGGTGGTTAAGCATGCGGCTGCAGGCTGTGGAAAATGCGGCTATGGCTGGAGTTCATGGTGGTTGGATGTGGAGGGCTGGGGCCAACTTGTCTTGGCTGATTGGGCTGTAGGGTGCAGAGTGGGGAGAGACATCATCATGGGCTGAGGACAGAAATACAGGGGCACTTACTCAGGATTTTGCCATGTCTGTTAGGGTAAAGCTGGAGCTCCTCCAAGAAGAATTTTTTGGCCAACAAACTACCTGTCTGGGTAGTTTCTCTAGGCCTTTAGGTGTGTTTAGCTAAGGAAGACACTAAGATTTTTCAGGCCAACTCAGAAAATGAACCTTAGGATGTATGTGTGTCAGTCAAGAAATCTAACTTGAAAGGAGAAAGCAGTTTTCATTCTTGGTGTGTGTGTGTGTGTAAAATCCAGGGAGGTTGTGCAGGGTGACCATGATTCAACTGTGCGTGCTTTTGCTGCAGTAGTTCTGTGTGTGTGTGTCCTGGGATAGTGTTTAATGAAATTATTTAGTTCTTTGATAAGCCAAATGTCAGACATTATTGACTTTTTTTTAATTTCTGCTGGTTCATTACTGTCTTTCTGAAGTGGACAGATTCTTTAGCTGAATTCCTAGTCCATTGTTTTGCTAATTCTGTGGTTTGGGTTTTTTTTTAAATTGTATTTTTTTACAAAAGATGTTACTTATTTTTTTTTTCCCCTTAGGTAAAGAAGAATGGATTATCAGATGCGATCAGCCAGGAAGAAAGAAAAAGACAGGAGGTACTCTTTGAAGTAACACATGCGTTTTTGTTGATTGTTTAGGGATGCGCAGCACGCCTGATTTAGCGCACTCTATTTGTTGGTAAGGAGACAAGTTCATCACACTGCCTCCCGTCCAAGAGTGAAGTGGGCTTCTCTCCCCAGGAAGGATAAAAACCCCAAACCTGTCTATTGGTGATGTGCATATGTCCCCACCACGGGTCTCCTCCAGCATCCTGCGGGCCTTGCGGGAGGAGGGGGTCCTGGGTGCGCTCCCGCCAGCGGATGTAGCCTGGTTGGTGGCTGCTCAGCACCAGCAGACAGTCACTGCTGCATGCTGTGCCGGGGAAGGTGTGAAATTAACCTTGTGTTCACAGAGGGTAGGAGGTGGCACGTAAATTTTTAAAGGCAGTGAGGAACAAAGAACAGCTTTTTACACTGGCCCTCAGTTGTAACCAAGCCTGTGAACAATTCTGAAGGTGCGAGCACTGTGTATCTGGTGTAAGTAACCTTTTCCTTTCACACTGGAACGGAATAGGTGCATCCATGCTGTCAACAGTACAGGCCACAGCAGCAATTACTGATGTAGTTATCTTTTTTCTCTCTTTCCCTTTTGCTCCTTTTGTCCTCTTTATCCGCTTCCCTCTTCCTCTTTGTTCCTTTTGTCCACTTTATCCGCCTTGCCCTCCTTCCTTACTTACAGGGCTATATCAGAATGAATGAGAGGTGTTGAAAAGAATAGCCTGACCTAGCCAACTTTATACCTGCAGTTCTTGAGGTATGTCCTTCGATAGGAAAAAAACACTGTAGCATTACCTGCCATGGTAATTTGTTCCAATTATCTTCATTTCACTTCAGGACATACCTCAGTGAATGTAGCCAAGGGAGACCTGACTGGGGTTTTCTGCAGAGTTCACAGATGCGTATAGCAAACCTCAAATGTTAATTTAGCTGTGTGACCTGCAGCTGTTGTGTTCACACATGAAATACAGAAGCATCTTGTATTGCATACCTGAGATTTAGACAGTAGTTTGTTGTGGTTGTTTTTTATAGTGCCACATTTCTTTGGCTGTCTTCTTTTGCTTTTTTGGGGAAGAGGCTGTGCAGCAGTTCAGGCCACGTGTTCGGCTTTTCTGTCTCCTCCTGCTGGGAAGCTTTGAGTCACAAGGCATTTATTTCAGTCCTATATCCTTTAGGAACCTTTAGTCTATGTTTCCTGGAGTCATATTTACATCCCTTCAAAGAGAACAAGTTCTTTAGATGCCTTTTAAATGTAAAGTCTTTAATGTTACCAAAAATCTTTTCAAGCCTGAGGGATTTCTTATTTGAATATTAGAGGGCTATTCTTTCAGAGGAAGCCTAGATGAATATTCTTAAGATATAGCTGTACTACCAAGTCATGCTTTTGCTGTAATTATTTCAAATTGCCTTTTGTCAATTATCTATTCCTTAAATGCTTTTTAGAACTTATATTACGATAGCAAAAATAATCTAATATTGTCACTGCAGAAAAATATATTTGTTTGCTTTATACCTTGATTAAATGTCAGTGTCATGCATTCACATGCATCCATCTTTCAGAACACATTAATGAGATGGATCTCTGCATCTTTTGTCTAAAGAAAATGTGTCATATACACAGACTGATTTGAACTAAAATACTTTTCAATAGATCTTCTTTGTCTTGCAAGCTGGAAACTCTTAACTGCCTATGTGTGTACAAATTGCAGTATGCATCTGACCTCTTAAGAGTGTTTATTGTCCATCAGGATTCAAACATCTGCTTACCTTGGTGTTATGCAAATGAACCACAATATGATTTCAGATGTCATTCAGAAACACGGTTAGCAAGCGCCTGGGAAATGCTACCAAGCCTCTGAATGTGGTGTAGTTACTGTATGTCAAAGTCAAGGTTTTTTCTTAGTCCTTATTTATTTTTTTACTCTCCAAAATGTGTTTGGGTCATGGTAAGATGATATTCTCTCCCTTCCTTACACATTAGAAGCAAAGTACTTTTCTTTGCCCCATTTATTTCTGACCATGCTACTGACTTTCTATTACCAAACTGAAAGAAGTTCATGAGGGTCCTCAGTAAAAGCACAAACAAAACCCCTCCAAAACAATAATAAGACAGCTTGTATATTTTCCTGGGTTGAAAAATGTCTGGGTAGAAAACAATTAGGTGTGGAACTCTACAGCAGTCCTTAGGTAAATCCTTTTTTGGTGAGCACAGCTGGGAGAAGTACAATGAGACTGAAGATTGGGAATGTAATTGCTGGGCAAAGGCCAAAATGCCCATTTTGGGTAACTTTCTGCACATTGTTAGCCACCCAGTGGGTAGATTCGCTGCCAGAGTTTGGCTGCTGTATATGTAAGGTCTATAGATTCCTGAGGCTGGCAGAGCTGGCAGGCAATTTAACGTTATCTTAAGCATCACCTTTTCATATCTTCTTGCACAGCAGCATTTGCTCTTGTGAATAATATGTAGGATGTTGTAGCTGTTACCTGGCTGCTGCTGTAGTTCTCACCAGAGCCCTTCAGCTTTTTAGGTAGGTAATAAGATGGAGAGACTACCGATATGTACATTAGACTTCTTTCCTTGGGTGTGTAAGGGCCCTGTCGGTTTTCTGTGGAGTTGATAAATCTTCCTTGTAGTGCATAAACCTTTAAGGCTTCAGCTAAAGCAGGTTTGGGGTTTTTTTTGTTTTGTTCAAAGAAATCCAAAACTTATTATTTCACTATTAAAATCTCGGTTCTTTGAAGAAGACTTTTTAGAAAGGCAACAATAATTTTGAAGGCACAGGCTGGGAACATTGAGTCTCAGGATACCCAAGAGAAATTGTATTTGATCAAAAGCATACCTTAGTAACACCAGCAGAATTCACTGGACTGGAACTCTTTAAGTAATCGTGTGAGCATATACCCCCAGCAGAATGTTGTGTGTTTTTTTCCCAGTATGGGTGGTCTCAGCTGGCGGTTGGGAGTATTCAGGAAGAGTGCCTTCGACCTGCCCGTAGTCTCCCTGGCCTTTATACCTGGTCAGGGAAGAGCAGGGTCTCTGCAGAGCACATACATCAGACCATCGGAGGGAACTCCTGTAGACTGTCAGCTGCAGGCGCCTCCCTCTGCCTCTCTCCGCGTTTGCAGAGCCATGCGCAAGAGCCTTTCTAAATGATCAGATCTGCACGGTTGCATTTAAAGTATGTATTTCTCCTTCAGTTTGAGAATGCTTAGAGAAGTCTGTTGCAAATAACTAATGAAATTATTCACGCAACTATCAACATTAGTTATATTGAGAACAAAGTCCTGTTACCTCTGCTGATGGCACTGTTCCGTGTTGGTAATGCCTGGAAGGTAGCGCTGATGACAAATGTGACTTGGAGCTTGTGACAAAAGGGTTCACGAAAATTACTTAATTTTTTCCCTTGTATATACATACAAGAACTCCAGCAGATTAACAGCAAATAAAGCTGAGAGAGAAAAGATGTCTAAAAGCTGAATAAGTTTCTACATCAGAGATGGCAATTTCCAATGGAACAAGTACGTGGATTCCAAAGGCTGAGTCCCTTAAAACTTTGCTTTGCGTGTCAGCCAGCTGATGGAAGTTAGAGTGGCTACTCTTTTGAGTGGTAAGGTGATAAAGGAGAAGTTGTTGTTTGTGGGAGGGGAGGGAATGTCCTGGAGGTCTGCCTGGCTGGTCGCTAATCACTGAAGGGGATGGCGGCTGCGGCTGCCACTGCCACCCCCTCCGCTCTGCTCTGCCTCCAGGCGTCTCCCCCGGGCACACAGCTCAGCCTCTCCTGGGCCTGCCCCCGCCCCGATGGTTTAAACGTAACCAAGGTGTCACTGCTGATAGAGGGCTAAAACCTGAATTTTGCAGAGGGTTTTGCTTTTCTGCAGATGCTTGGGTAAGCAGAGCTCTGTTACCCAGGAACGCTTTCAGGTAAATAGCTCACCAGCTTCCCTTTCAGAAGAGCACAAGCAAATACTGGCTGGGCAACAGTAGCGTGATTGATACGAAGCTTTGGACCACAGAAACAGATGTGTTTGTTTTAATTAAAAACAAACAAACAAAAGCAAACAGACCTCTCAGGAGTATGAATGGGGAGTGATCATGATGTTAAAGTTTTTTGTCTTCAAACTCTGCAGTTGCATTGAAAAGTCTTAGTATAGACTTTTTTAAAAGTATCTTTTTTTTTTTTTCCTAGCATTAAATCACTTATTTCTAAGTAAATGATGCAACTATCATGGAAGTGAATATTTACGTTATAATATCTAGCTTACATCCAGTAACTTTTCTTTGCACCCCTCCTCCACGTTTCCTTTTAAAAAAGAATTAAAAAAAGCAGCCTAGTCAATATTAAGTCTGTTCTTTCCTCACTCCACTTTGCAGGCGATATTTGAAGTGATATCTTCTGAGCATTCTTATTTGCTGAGCTTGGAGATTCTGATCCGGATGTTTAAAAATTCCAGGGAACTGAGCCTCACAATGACCAAAACAGAGAGCCATCACCTTTTCTCCAACATCACAGATGTTTACGAAGCAAGCAAAAAGTAAGTGTAGAAATACAACTTCTTTATTCTTTTTAAATTATACCTGAGGGTGATTACTAGTAGTCAAAATATGTTTCAAGCAAATAACGAAATGTAGTATACAAAATAGTATCTTTACAGTTACCACAAACTGAAGGAAGAGCTGCAAGGTGGCAACTTCAGCAAAAATTTAGGCCTCACAATTTAAGAGTGGGAAGTCAAATGTTGCAGTTGTTAATATGCAGAGTCTTAACTCTTTATAGGCTGTAAATAAATTAGAAAGGAACTTGATTCTCTGAGTTTTGAGATCACCAAAATATATGTGCTCTGCAGTGCTGAAGAATCATTTAATATAATGCAAACAGCTAAGGTTTGATTTTGCGAATCATAGATTCTGGTTTGGGGATGTGAACAAGCCCCTGTTTATTTGTATTGTATTTTCCTTCGTACCTCACAGGCAGCTCCTCGAACAGCAGAGCTTTGGTTAGTACTGGCTGTGATACGTGGTAGTGTTTGCAGACTCAGGCTATGCCTTACCTATACTCCTGTTCTCTGAGGCGTCTTGCTTTTATTTGTAGAAATCTTAGCTTTTCTTCCCAGAATAGTCTATTCTTAACGTTGAACAGCTGTTGACTTTTCTGGCTGTACTCCTTTAGTAAGGAGAGCTTACGGATAGGCTGAACTGGAGATGTCGGTTACTATTTTAGTAATTGTTTGAACATAAAAGCAAGTTTCTTACTGGAATCTCGGGTAACCATTTTAGGGTGGTAACAGTTTCTTCCACAACTGTCATGCTAGTTTGAAGGTGGGTAATACAAATCACAGTGAACTTGCACGTGAGTTTGACAGACTCACCTTGCCACTGTGTTTGAGCTCACACGTAATGGGATAGGCATGGTGTTAGTTTCCCTGGAAATTAGTAGGGAAGGAAAGAACGGTCTATTTGAGCAGAAATTAGCATCCTTCAGATGTAAACAGTTCCTAAGGAAAATGTGGATACATTAAGCAGTGATACCTAGTCTTTACAGTCTGTCAAATTAAGCTGTCTGCCCTTATTAAACTGTTAAAAACTGAGCAAGAGTTTCATACTTGCCCTTAAGAACTGACTCTTGCCGGTGTTTTCCTTAATCGGTTGGATCACTGTTTACTTTCTACCCAGTACGCGATGTGCCGCATACTGTGTGACTCCGGTATCTTTATGTAAACAGCACAGGCATTTCACTGGTTATGAACAGTGCTGTGCGCGCCGCAGCGCCTGGCACCACACACTTGCATTTCTTTTAAAAAGATGATCTGCTGTGCTCTGCTTTTTTTTTTTTTTTTTTAAATTTCTTCAGTACAAAGTCAATAAGAAGGAAAACAGATACACTACCGATAGTCCCTAAGGAAAAGAAAACGTTGGCAAATCTTAAACGGTACAAACGCTGGAAAGTCTGTTTTATGATTGCTGATAATGACTGCCAGCATTATTTAATACGGGACACGGAGATGTATGTGCACTCACAGTGTACTTCAGGGTTATGAATACTTTATTTCAAAATGTTATTTAATGAGGATTTGCTTTGTTATAATTTGCTCATTATCCTCGCCTGGTTAATAGCAGTATCAGCAGGTGAATTTCTGTGGTCTACATAAGTGAAAAATAAAACTGTCTATGCTTCATTCTCATACCTTATTTCCAGTTTGAAACCAAGCACAATGGCTAAAGGACGCACACGGCCTCGTTAAGATACTGATTGATCTTAACAGTAGCACTGTGCTACTTTAAATGTATCTTTCTTTACCCGTGGAACATAAAAATACTCGACTCCTTTCAGAAACGGGGTGATGGTTGGATGAGGACTCTGTCAGACTGGGAGTATTTCTGGAGTCAGGCCTTCCCACCTTTTCAGCCTCCCCCTTTTCTTTCTTTTCCCTTTTGTTTCTTTCTTGTAGAAATTGCGATATTCTGAATTCTTTAGCATTAAACCTGTATTTACCTTTGTGGAACTTCTCAAGTTTCGTGTTCCCGGTCAGGGTAATGTCCTTTTTCGGCTCCCATTTCTCTGAAGCCTCCCGAAGTCTGTGGAATTTTACAGCTGTCGTGCAGCAGTTTGATTTTATGTCTTCTGAATTTTATGCAGTAATAAGATTCTGTGTTGTGGAGCATACGTGTGAGAGACTAACATACTGTGTCAAGTGCAAGCCTAATTTAGGAGCTATATAATAGGTGTGCATTTGGACTTACTCGGTATGCCCTCATTTCTCCATCCCCTGTTCCCTCTTATAGTTGAGGTCCTTTGCCAGCAGGTGGGTATTTTCTGAACCCACAGCCACCACAGGAATGAGAGTTGCACAACAGCAGTGTTGTCAGGGAGTGCAGGTTTTCAAAGTCCTTATTTTCAAGGAACAGTACTTTTTAAAGGCTTTTCCTTATGTGAAATGTGAATTGTAAAATTAAAGTATCATGAGAACATTTCTTGCTAGACAAATGTTGATGTCACAGAGCCATCGTGTATTGGGGGGTAGTTGCCATCTTTTTTAGATAGCTTTATGGAAATCAAAGGTTTAATTAACCTGTAGACTTTGCCTCTCCTTTGGATTGTTTCTGTAAGACACCGCTGACCGTACCAGCACAGCTACGTGAATAGGAGTGTGTTTGGTGGTTTTCCCTGTGTTGAATAAGTCTTCCAAATCATTAAATCCACTTTTAAATTTCTCACTTAAAATATTTGAAGCAGAAATGGGAGTTGGGAAAGCAATATTTTTAGGGGAATTCTTACCACCCTTTTGATTAATAGTCTTCAAAAGAAGTGGGAGGGGGGAAAAAAAGAAAGAATGGAAAAATACCACACTAGCCTAAAATTATAATCTTATTCTTTCTTGTCTGGAAAGTCTAATGCTTTAAAACTTGCGTTTTTTATAACTTGAAGTAAAAACACAATTTGTAACTCCTTTTTAAACTTAAATCAAAACGTATTTTGTTTCCTGAGTTATGCAATACTGTTAAACTATAACAAAACTTTGTGCTGGCTTTCTACAACCTCATTTGTGTAAATAATGAAAGTGATTTTAAAACAGAAGCCTCTTTCTCGGTATCTCCAAACTATCGCTTCCCGTTTTCAAGGTCTTTCAAGGTAGCAAAATCCATCATTTTGTTATAAAACTGTAAGGAAATTGAGCATCTATCCCATTATGCTGTATTTGAAGCAGCATTTCCTTTACTTAAAAATAGCAAATCTGAGTGAGTGTAGTTATCAGTGGTTTTAGTTGCTCAGACAAAAGTTGGGTGAGCTGAAGAACATGAACTGGTAAAAACCACTAACTTCAGTCAAAATTGCTTAAAACTGACATCTAGGGACTTTGACTTAAAACATGTTCAATGGAAACTCTCCAGAAACACCAAGATAGGCTTCTAATGCGTGACAAGGCCATTTCTGGTGGAACAAAGCTGCCTTTGTTAGAAGCAGAATACAGACAGCAGAGACCGTCTCTGCTTTTGGGAGCTCATTGGAATGTCTCTAACAAAGAAGAGTTGATCTGAATAATTTGTGCAGCATACAATGTGTTTGTTTATGAAAATGTCTTGTAAGATGCCTTCAGAAAGCTCAAGTCTTTTATTATGTATTTGCCTGTGTGTGTGATATGGGAGTTCGTAACTGATAGAACACAAAATCACCCAAATTGCAACGCGGGTCAGCGAGAGCCGCTACACCGAGATGGAAGCGGATGGGGTGCCATAGGCTGGCTTCTTCAGAAATAAAACCTTTGTAGTCTGAGAATACTGCGCAATCAATCGCGCTCGTCAGAAGACCTCTCTCCACTCTCAATATGTGGTGCAAAAGAGGTCAGTTTCCCAAGAGCCTGTCTCGGGAAAGAGGAGTCACAGGAAATTAGTGAAAGGTCTTGAGGAACAATTGGTCTGACAGGTCAAACCACCAAATTTATAGGAGAAAGGAAAGCTTCAGCATTTTGTTCCTCTCGCTGTCATTAGGCCGGCAAAAGGCAAAACGCTCATGGAATATCAGAAGGTCACCATTAGCAGAAAAAGACGAACAAAAACTATTTTGACAGGTTCTGACTGTTTCTAAACTGTGTCTTGATTTTTGGTAGAGAAACCCGTGTGGGTTTGTGAGGCGAGTTAACATCTTGTCTGAGTGTCTTAGTTTAATTTTGTGTGTGTGAATATATATTAGGAATCAGGTAAGTTTTCTCATAGCACTTTTTTGTAAATTAGGTTAATGAGGTTTCACCTCTTTCCAACATCCTTTAAATGATGCAGCTTCATCTTTTCCATAGGAAGATGCAGTCCCTGTGTTCATTCAGGCAGTGTGTATTGAATCAGTTAACTGGGCATTAAAGACAATGCTTTCAGAGAATGCAGAGTTCTGTTGCTCAGTTCCTTTAGAAGACTGAAAAACAAAACAAAACAACCCCACCCCAAAACCCTCATATAATAAAAAAAAAAAAGTAAAAATTTCAATAGTGTCAGTAGACCCCGCGTGATTCAGGTGAACTATAATGAAAGGGAATTATTCCAAAGTTACAGATTCCTGATTTGATTTCCAGGTAAGACAGTGATAGAAGCCGTTAACATCCCTTTTCCCTGTTTGTCCTAGGCTGATGGTCTTAGTCTGCGTTCTGTATTTTGTCACAGTTCTTGCCAGTAGCAGTTTTTGAAGAGAGCTGAGTAGTGTCTTGAGGGCATCCAGCTGTGCCTGGTTTCCCTGGTGGGGTTAGCGACACTGAGGGCTGATGGAGGGGAGTATTTCTGCGCTCTTTCAAAGAAAGTTGTTCATACTGGAAGTTTCGAAGCAGATAAGTGGCTTGCTTATCAGTGGGGCTGGGGGAATATGTTGGGTACGGTGGACAGAGAAACGGGAACAGGAGGGAGAGAAACCCTCCCAAAATGAGCTGGAAGCGGGGCAGGGGACACCGGGGCTCTGTGCCGAAGCTGGTGCCTTGTGCTGGCCCGCAGCAGGTGCTGTGATCCGCAGTGACCGTCCGTGGTGCGTGGGTTTCCGCGTGGTGCGTGGGTTTCC